TAGGGTTTAGGGGTGTAGGGGATTAGGGGATTAGGAGATTAGGGGGCTCACACCTTCAGGCGGTTGCACAAGTCCTGATGCAAAAGGCGTTTTTCGGGTTCGGAGTTGTGCATCCTGCCACTGCAGGTGTGCTTGTTCCTCTTCAGCACGCTGCGGCGGCGCTTCCCGCTCGCCGCCGGTCGCAAGATTCCATGCCCAATGCCCTCAGGGTTTAGGGTTTAGGGTTTAGGGTTTAGGGTTTAGGGTTTAGGGTTTAGGGTTTAGGGTTTAGGGTTTAGGGTTTAGGGTTTGGGGTTTAGGTTGAGGGTTGAGGGCTGAGGGTTGACTACTAAGCCCTTTTGGGGGCCACCTCTTCTTTAGAACCCTCCTCTGACAGATGCCCCTTAAACCCTAAACCCTAAACCCTAAACCCTAAACCCTAAACCCTCCCTGCTGTGGATTCCATCGAAGTTGTAGAATAGAAGCTCATGTTAGTCTTGCTTGCACTGTTTGGAAAGGGGCGCGACAAGCTTGCTTTCTAGCTGGCCTTGTTGGAAGCATCCATCTCTGGCAATCGATGGAGATGCTGTGGTCGATTGAGCTGCTGTGGTTGGTGCGGTGTCCAGTACTGGCCCCTGCATTTTGCCGCTACAAGGCCATAGCATCCTTTGCGAGGCCCTAAATCCCAAAACCCGGGGCCTCGCTAGCAAGCCTACCCAAGAGCACGTTACCCGGCCGCACGTCCGGAATCGCTAGGAGCCTAAACCCCAAACCCCCAAACTCTACCTGCACTTCAGACCTGTTGAGGCTCACCCTTTCCCTTCTAGAACCCAATAAAAGGGGTCAGAGCTGTACCTCGAAGGCCCGTGCTAAATTATCTTGGGCATTCGTAATAGCACGGGGCTGATGAGCATCCACGGCACGGACCGAGGTGTACTCCGGCAATGTTGTGGACGGCGTGGTTGCTGATCCTGGACATGGACAATTTGATTGGCTGATCCCCGCACTGCAGGCCGAATCAGCCTCTAGTTCCTGGCGTCGATATCACTGTAGCCATATGGGGGTTTCGAAACCCTAAACCCTACACCCTAAACCCTAAACCCTAAACCCTAAACCCTAAACCCTGTAGGGTTTTGAGCTTGAGCTTGGTAGCAACCGCCCCCTCAGAAGTGTTTGGGCGTGGGGCTTCGGACCCCAGGTAGCAGTTCAGATGGGTTGCGGGTCTACGGGTTTAGGGTTTAGGGTTTAGGGTTTAGGGTTATTGAAAGTCTGGGATGTAAAGAGTTGTGGAGTCTCATGGGGCAGGCGAGCAGCTGGGTGATCAATTTGCAAGCTACGTGGCTTATTCCTTGGCGACACTGTGTGCTAGAAACAGCTAAAATTTTTGAATCCTTAGTGCCAGCGACAGACATGTCAGTACCTCGGGTTAGTGCAGCATTCGCCCCTGGATAAGTGTATTGCAGAGGGTTGGTAGAAAGTGGGGTCATGCAGATGCTTGGCTCCCGCCGTGCCATCTCATTCTCACTCCTGCGTGCGCGCGCGATCACTTCCTCAGCCGCGCAGCTGAAGCGGCAGGAGAGGCATCGCTTGAAAGTCACGACCGACTTTACCAACCCGCAGAACCTGCGCAGCTTGCGACCTGTTCAGGAGCAAGGGGCTTCCAGTCCGCAAGCCAGGTCCAACACGAAGAAGATTGGCCGCCTTGTTAGGGATGGAGACTTCGAAGAGGCATGGCAGCTCTTCGAAGGCCTAGACCAGCGCGGGGTGATTGAGTACTGTGTTGGCCTCAACCTCTGTGCTAAAGCTGGCTGGCTGGAGAAGGCCAAGGCTCTTTGGACGGAAATGAGCCTCGATTCGAAGAACGTCGTGGCTTACACCACCATGATCAGGATGTACGCCGGCATTAAGAGGGTGCATGAGGCGGAGCAGCTCTTTCAGGAGATGAAGCTAAATGCGGTAACGCCCAACCTCATAACATACAGCAGCATGATCACCGCCTACTCGATGGTCTCTAAGCCCCAGAAGGCCAAGAGGCTCTTTGACAGCATTCCCGAGGTGACCTTTGAAGAGGCAGGCCCTTCCAGCAAGGAGAGCGCCTACGCTGGGGTGATGTTCGCCTATGCGCGGTGTGGCGACTACGCTGCCGTGCGCGAGCTCTTCATGGACATGACCTCGAAGGGGCTAACGCCCAGTAGGAGCCATTTCAATGCCATGATCACCTCCTGCTCGGAACAGTGCCTGGCTGAGACGGCAAGAGCAGTCTTCGAAATGCTGCCTCACTACGGGATCAAACCCGAATGTGACACATGGACAGCACTTCTGGACTGCCACCGAAGCGATCTGAGCCAGTGCAAGCGGATTCTGACCGACATGGAGAGTTCCGGGATCGCACCGTCTGGCTTGACATACCAGAAGCTTCTGACCGCCCATGTTCTTGCCGGCGACGGGACCGGCGCACGCGAGCTGCTCAAGGACATGACGAAGTTTGGGCCCTGGAGGGACTCCAGGCTCGTTCAGCAGCTGAGCGCGGAGGCTGCGCGACTCCCCGACGTCACCTCGTGCAGTAGTGAATCTGCAAGCCCGCACTAACTCGTCCCGAAGTCCGAACAACTCCCGAAAGCTTGCTCGTTCGAAGTAGGGTGTGGTATGTGGGAATGAGGTACCCAAAAAGAGACCATATACAAGGGTACCTAATTTGCCCGAATTGCCGAGACGAAGAGCCCGTCAGCAGAAGCCAGGAAGCCCGACTTGGGGGGAGCGCCTCTAGGAGTGGGACGAAAAGAAGTCCTGTGAGTTTTTGCTGGGTTTCCTTGCCTTAGGGTTTGGGGTGTAGTGTATTTGGGGTTTGGGGGTGAATTTGGGGAGCCGGGAGTTCTTCCAAGATGCCAGGGTTTGCGCGCCAGGGCTTCTTGAGCTGTCTACGCAGCTTTATCGGGGGGTGGACAAGAAGGAAGGGGGGGCCCAGACACTATACACTGCACACGCTACCCTCTCCATGCCACAGGCCATGCAAACAAACCGGACCCAGAAGATCACAGCAGCATCCCAGCAACGCCTGCTTACTTTATTTCCCCAACAGACTGAGTTTCACAACCAAAGCCACTTCAGCGACACCTCATGTGGGAGTTTCATCCGAAGCCTAACCTCTCGGCAGCGCGACTCAGTTCATGGCCCAAAACCCGAAGCTTAAATTATTAAACCTACTTAAGCCTTCAACCCTAAACCTTTAGCCACTGCCCTCCAGCCCAGCTCTGGTTCATAAAGCCATGTGGGAGTGAAAGCTGAGGAAAGAAAGCCCTGCTGTGCGCTGTTGTGTGAGAGTCGAATCCCGCAAGCCCAAGCACCAAACCTTGGAACCCTGGCACGCAAACCCTAAACCCTTAGCCGTCCGCAACCAGTATCAAAACCCTGTAAAGTAGCCCTAAACCCCAGGGAAGTCATGAAACAGCTTCGATGAGCTTGGACGCCTGGCTGGCTATGGAGCAACTTTGGCAGACGACTGGGGAGGGTCCGAGGTTAGGGCTTGGGGCTTCAATTGCTGCGAAAAGGGTTCTGGTCAAACCTCAACCCTATAGACCCGTATACCACATCATAATTTGGGAAGACGTGTCGAACAACCTTGTGAGGTTATTTTGCGGTGAGAAACCCAGCTCCTCCAACAAGGAGCATTGGCTTCACGATGTACGTGCAATGTTGCACCTGCTTCAGTATTGGCCCCCCCTTTAAAGACAATTTGGCTGAGTTCTTCAGGACACCCTGACAGTTTGGGAGTCCTTCTTTAAAGACAAATCGTCCGTTCGCCGTAAGAAAAATTCCACGTGGCGCCTTTAAAAAAGATTGCCGGGCATCGCTGCCCCTTTTAAGCTTATCTAAACTCCTCCCTATTAAAATCATATAAACCCCCGGGCCGTCTAAACAGAGCAAATTCCAGCCTCGACTGTTCAGGGGGAGGGAGGGGGGTGGGGGGGGGGTCGGCCCCACATTAAAGCAGGTGCCACATTAAGGCGGATAGAACAATTAGGGACATTTAGGGACTTAAACCATCTTAAACCCTAACCCCACACCTGCTCTCCCCCCCTCCCCAAACCCCTCGGAAAGGTACAGCAGTCTCGGGACGCGGCTGATGGCTTGCATTGGGCATCCTGGCTTTCCCAGTGCCCCACACTTTTGCCCTCCCTGCTAAAGACAATATTTCAGCCGTTTAGGGTTTAGGGCTATTGAAGAATGTTCTCGCTTGGGGTATGCTGTGTAAACGTATCTTGCGGACGCGAAAGTAATGGGGTTGGATGGCATCAAGCATATGCTAGCGGATGCGGGTGGCAAGCTGGATCATCTTTCCATGGGTTCGCCGTGGCGTCGGGGTCTCGCTTTGCGCACTTTCGCGATTCGGTCGCTGTCTAAATTCAGAAGTCTGCTCCAACCTGATTGCCTTTTCCGAAGAGTTCCAGCCCCTGACTTCACCGCCCGGATTACGCAAGACTCTAACACTCTCCTTCCGATCTTCGCAGGGTCACAGCGAGGTATCGTAGTATGAACTGGAGAGGAGCATGGCAAACCGCACGGATCGACCCTCGAGGTTCTAGGCAGGTTTGCTTGGGAGGTTGTGGGCCTGAGCCATACCAGGGGTGCGATCCCCTTGCAGCGAGTGAGTGAAGTTCCCCGTTGCATGACATCTGCCTGTGCAATGATGACTTGTCGATGTACCTTCAGTTGTGCATGTACAGGTCGTGCATGCGGTGTGGTTGGAGTTTGAGGGTTGAGGCTTTGGGTTTATGGGCCGGATGCCGGCACAAAAGGCGTAGGAGATCGAAAGATGGCACCTTTCGAGTAGTAGCACTGGATGGCTGAGTGCTTTCGTGTGGGTTTTGCAGTAAACGCCTTTCCGAGTTGGCTTTGACATTTAAGAGGACACCTGAGATGCGAGATAGGGGCTGCGGCAGCACAGGTATAGGTCAGCAACACGGCCCCGGCTTGCAGATTGTTCGCTGCTGCGTGCTGCGTCTGGCACAAGAATGAGAGCAATGCTTAGCTCAGCCCGGCCACGTTTGTTGCTTTATCTATGTTTGCCATGGGGATTGGCTGTGGAGAACCCATCTCAGAGTTGTGGAGCAGGGACCTGCGCAGACGAGCGACCGAGTGGAGTTCTACCAAGCGAGCAGGGGCGCAGCGGAGCAGACTCCTCTGAAGTCCCCCAAAACGACATCCAGGCCTGGCTGTGTGGCTTCGGCCCGGACGGTGCAGAGCTTCGGCTTTGCTATGCTCCTATCTTTTTTAAGAACAGGGTTCAGGGTTTAGGGTTTAGGGTTCAGGGTTTAGGGTTTAGGGCTAGGGTTTAGGGACTTTGGGTTTAAAGGTGACTTTGGGCTCATTGAAGTGCAGCTTTGAAGAGTCTCGAGATCTGCGTCTTTTCGGGCCCTCTCCGCATCTTGCTTGTGAAGCTGAGGTGGAGTTGCCCTCAGTGACTGGGTTTTGGAGTACTACACTTTAATACTTTTTTGGTTCTGGGTTCCTATACTAGCTACTTATACCTAAAAAGTATATACTTTTTTTCCAGGGTCTACTCCAAAGCTAAGGTGACGCTGCTTGATGTGCAGCAGGTGTTGAACCACAGTTGCGGGTTCGTGAACACCTCTTCGCCCGTGCGCTTTGCCCTTGTGAGGACGCACAAGACTGGCAGCACCACGGTTTCCCAGGCCATGATACGGTCAGGCATGTGGCTGGGGCTGCGCTGGGCTGGCTGCGGCGACAGGTCACGCTTCGTGCCACACGAGCATGCCTGCAACGCCCGCAACGACTCCACCCGCTCCCAGAAGCACGAGGGCAAGTATGACTTTGAGTCGCGGCACACGTATGACCGCGACACATGGTGGACGTCGGAGCCCTATCTGGAAGAGTGCGATGCTGATGGCCGTCACTTCGAGCGCACGCTGCAAGGCTACGAGAAGCAGATGGGATCTGATGTGCAGATTTTCGCTCTGATTCGGGAGGCTCATTCGCACTTGCGGTCGACGCTTGACTTCTACCAGGTGCCATTCGCCAAGTTCAATGCGTCCGAGAGCCTCTGGAACCCTTTGGCAAAGGATTTTCGCCTGCTGCAGGCAGAGCACGTGGACGAGTTCCTTGCGCGTTCCTTGGGGAGACCAAATGAGCCCGAAGATTGGGGTCCTAGACCCTATACTCCTATACTTCCCATATAAGGTATATGAACCATAATTCCCATGAAGGTTTATGAACCATAATCCCCATTAAGGTATATGAACCATAATTCCCAATTAAGGTATACGAACCATAAGCCCTTTTAGGATTCATATACCTTAATATGGGAATTATATACCCTATACTACTATAATTCCCATTCAGGTATATGAACCATAAGCCCTTTTAGGATTCATATCCCTTAATATGGGAATTATATACCCTATACTACTCTAATTCCCATTCAGGCATATGAACCATAAGCCCTTTTGGGATTCATATACCTTAATATGGGAATTATATACCCTATACTACTAGAATGCCCATTCAGGTATATGAACCATAAGCCCTTTTAGGGTTCATATACCTTAATATTGGAATTATATACCCTATGCTACTAGAATTCCCATTCAGGTCTATGAACCATAAGCCCTTTTAGGGTTCATATACCTTAATGGGAATTATATACCCTGTACTACTGATATTCCGATATATGAACCATAAGCCCTTTTAGGGCTCATAATGCGTCACCAAGGTTGGCCCTTCAATCGCAGGGGCCGCCTGCACGTCCTCGTGACCGAGGAGCTCGCCGCATCGATGGTGATGTTTCGCAGAACTGTGAACTGGTCTTTGAGACTTAGGGAGACCTTGGGAACATGTTTTAAATTCTTTGGGTGCGATCATTCCTACGAAACAGCCTTTTAAAAAAGAAACTCACTTTTTGCAAGGGTTGAAATGGCTGCAAGTTCAGTTAAGGAGAGATGTGGTGTTCCTTTCAGGCCGTGTCACGAAGAGGCACGGCTGGGTTCCCGAGCCTGCTTCCATGCCACCGGGGCGCTTGAACTGGGACGAGAGGTTGAACGAGGTGTTGCGACCCTTGGTAGGCCAGTGGTACCCTTTCCCCTAGTTTGTTCTTGGGGTTCTTGGGCTCCCTTATAAAGTAACAAGCCAAAAAGAAAGGGTGCCCTAAACCCTAAACCCTAAACCCTAAACCCTAAACCCTAAACCCTAAACCCTAAACCCTAAACCCTAGCATCATATTACTGGGCTACGAAGGACCCCTGTTCATGGTCGAGCTGGCGAAACATCAGTCCGATCCGTCCTTCCAGCGAGAGGTCACAGCCCTCAATCGGATCAACGCAGTGCTTCCCCAAGTCTGCGCCCAACCCCAGGACTCTATCCTCCTTGGGAATTAATTTTCGTTTATTTTTGTTTATATAAAACCCAGGAGGATATTGAGAATATTGGTTTTTATTAAGGTTCTAAGGGGAGTATAGAGGAGGGCTTCGTGGCCAGCGTCTGCGACGCGAAAGTTGAGAACATGAAGGATGGAAAGAAGTGGGCCGCCAAGTACCGCAAGTTCCATTGCGGATGATCCTCATTTGCACCGAAACAAGATACACGCGGCATGCGGCGGGGAGAAAGGCGCGAAGATACTTGTGATCAAATTGCTGTCGTAGACGCGGCTTGCAAAGTTCTGTCTGCGTTTGCAATATGAAAGTTGGCATCCTTCAGTCTCTACGACGCCTCTGTGTTGGGAGCTCCACCCCAGCCATCTCTTGCAGCTTGCATCTAGACTCTTCATTACCCTGAACCCTAAACCATACGAGACGGACTCTTCGCGTACCTGCAGCTGCTAGGCAAGTGGCAAAAACCTCCAACCCCTAAACCCTAAACTCTGTGCGAGTGTGAGAGTCGAAACCCTAAACCCTAAACCTTAAACCCTAAACCCTAAACCCTAAACCCTCAACCCTAAACCCTAAACCCTAAACCCGCCCCGCCCCTCCCCACAAGAAAACGCCTGGCCGCAGCTCTGAACCAGCTGTGGGCCTTGCTTGAAAGGTTGTGCACCGTTGTTTTCTTAATGGCAGGAGCTCCACAGGGTACCCCCGGGCCCCCTCCCCTCCCCCCCTCGCTTAACTTTTTGAGGTTTTGGATTATGCAGGGTTTGGGGTTTTACGGATGTTGTTGCAAGATTGCACGTTTCAAGTAAACATTCTATATTGATCACGAGTGAACAAAACACCATGCAAAGCGTATGAAAATCATGCGCAATCTACCTTTCTTGCACAGAAGTGTTACGACCGCACGATGGTCAGCACAGATTCCGAGTCGACTTAGTTTCCTGGTCCTTTTATTGAGCAGAGCTCCACATCTGGGCGAATTCCCGGAGAGAGCGCCTGCCGGAATAAAGGGTTTCGGGCAGGGGGGCCTAAACGCCACATCGCCGTGTTTTCCACATGCTTTGGGGTGATCAAAACATGTTTCATTAGTTCTTGGTGCCGCAAAAAAGGTTATTGTGGAAGCTCTGGCGACACACTGTGGAACTAGAACTCCGTCCGCAAGACACCTGAAATCTCGGGTGCGGGGAACATGCGGAAAATTATGGTGTTGCACAGAGCGGTCAGCTCGTTCCGCAACTTCGGTAGCTTTTCTGCATTCACAACGTTTGCATCACTTCCTTCCCCGCATGCTTCACAACTGTTCCACACATTTGCTGCAACTGCGACCAACGGGTTGCAGGTGCAAAAGTGAACCTGGGCGAATCAGGCCTGCTGTTGTGAAAACCAGGACGTAGACGCACCCTTTGAATGTGGGAAAAGAGGCAGTTGATTGTGTGCAAGAAAAATGCTCTGAATGAAAGAGATACTTCATTGCGAAAAACTTGTCGGAAACGCTGGAGAAACCTTGTTCTTATTGAACAAGGCTCTGAGCACGGAAAAGGACCGAACGCTTGCCTTGTGTTGTGGAAAGCAAGGCTCGCACGTGCAAAAAGAGGACTCCTTGATTGTGCGAGACAAATTGGAAAGTGGAAAACGAGGCCTTCTGTTATGGACAGCAAGTGCTTTGGGCCGGGAAGAGCGAAAAACTGTTTAGGGTTTCGGGCTTCGGGTGAAGGAGTTGTGTAAGGAGATAATGCGTAAAGTTGAGTTGCCATGGGCCAGAACCCGAACGAACCCTAAACTCTAGATGGCTTTGGGACGCTAAGGCTGCCGACGCTTTGCATCTTCGGCGCCTTGCACCACTTCTGGGGCGGTAGGGGCCTGGAGAAGACGGATTTCCTGGCCGACTGCCTGCATATGAGACGTGCAGTTTCGACTTTAGGGTTTAGGGTTTAGGGCTTCAGGGCTGAGACATCGCTTTCGAGTTTGTTCGCCGAGTGCAGACTCCTCTCTCCGATTTGCAGAGCCAGACCACCCTCCAAGCAGCAAAGCGTTATCGTCCAGGGGTTTTAGGGAGGCCCCAAACCCCTTTTCCTAAACCTAAAATCCTAAACCCTGGACCCTGAATCCCACTGGGGCCCTGGGGTGTAGGGCATGAGCCGACCAGTATTTTGATCCGCTCTCTGCTCTGACAGGCGGGTGATGATAGCACGAGTCTCGAAGCCTGCATGGGTACTTCTCAAAATCTGGTTTCCTTTCGGGAAATTCCCCTAAATATTCGGGGCCACCTTAGAATCGTAATCCCAAAAGGGGCCTACATAAAGCATGGCCAGATCAACCTTCGCATTGGCTGCAAACCCGCACGCGACTTCAGTCAATAGGTCCCCCAAAAAAAGCCTGTACCGATCACCCGAAGAACTTTTCATCAGGATTGCAGAAAACTGTCTCATAAACCCATTCTGATAGAATATGCCATCCCTTTGCAAACCTCTATCCGTTTTTCATAAGGCTGTCCCAAACACCTATTCGAAGATAGAAAGGTGCCCCAAAATTCAGCAAGGCGAGCCTCTCCATCCACAATGTCCACTCAGGAAGCTCCTTGTTGTGTTTACGGCTTAGGGTTTAGGAACCCTAAACCCTAAACCCTAAACCCTAAACCTTAGTAACCCTAAACCCTAAACCCTAAACCCTAAACCCTAAACACCCTAAACCCTAAACCGGTGCAGGGTTCCTTCGTCTGAGAGTCCGGGCTTATGGCAGGGGCATAGTTCAGGATGCCCTCTTTCGTGCTCCGGCCTCATGCCTGTATGGCCCAGCATGATCTCGGATATCTGGCAGCCCCTTATAGCAAATCACCCCCGAAGCGTCGAGCAGTTGCCTTGCGTGCCTTGTGCGAAACACGGGCGTCGAAACCTTAAGCCCTAAACCCAAACCCTCAAAAACCACGATCAATAACCTCACACCCTCAACCCTTACCCCTGATAAGCCCATTAGCAGGCGAATGATGACTTGGGTAGTGTTGTGCATGCTGGACCCATTCTTTAGACCTCTGAAATTGTCCTGCACTTTGGCTCGTAACATATCCCCGTCCTTGAGGCGCTCAACACCCAATACCCCTACTCAGCCCCGAGGTCGAGAGTGGTGCCCGGCCTTTGCTGACAACTAGATCATATCACATATACATATACATATATACATATATATATATATGTGTACACACACACACGCTAGGATGTATTTTCAGTTTACTATGACATTTTGCATATAATGTAGCAGAAAATATTATACATCTACATATATATATATATGGTCGCCCCCCCCCCCCCCCCCCCAATGGACCCACATCGACATGTATAAGGTTCTCGAGACACTGCACCCTGCCATGCTTTCCCTGTCTACTTCTTTATGTTTTTGTGCTTCTGTTGTGCTTTTTTTCGTGCATTTTTGTGCTTTTTGTATTCTTTTGTGCTTTTTTTTTTTTTTTTCACTTTTTGCACTTTTTTGTACTTTTTGCACTTTTTGCACTTTTTGGCACTTTTTTGTGCTTTTGTCTAATTTCACAATATCTTTGCAAATATTTGTCCTCTTGAATGTGCTTTTCCAATCCAAAAATCCAAAAATCCAAAGTTCTCCGGACAATCTCCCAGGAAACTTTGGATTTTTGGATTTTTGGATTTTTGGATTTTGAAGACTTTTCACATTCGAGGTTCTCCTTTTTTTGACTTATAAGAGGGCGGCCATTCAAATGCACCCTTATCAGAGTTTCAATTGCGTCCTAAGTACTCGAAACGTAAGCACTAAATTCACAGGATATCATTGAATGGCATATCCTAGATGGTTTTGATTATACTGTTTCTGAATTTGAGAACCATGTCAAGTCTTACTTTTTCAAATCACTGAAGTAAACGCGTACGTGTGTTATGCACAGGGCTTTGCTAAGCAGGCTTTAGCAGAGAAAGCCCATATTTGCCAATATCTACTTTTGTGCATCTAAAAGAAGCTAGCTGAATTATCATTTTTCCAAGAACAACCATTCTGGGATCCTAGTACCTGCTGTTTAAGAAAGGTTATATGTCATGAACACCCTGACTTTGCGATAACGAGTGTTTTAGTTTTCTGATCCTTTAATTCAGGCTCTTAAGATTATTGCAGTAAACCCTGCTCGAATCTGATTAACGTCTTAACTAAGTACTCGATTGAAGACTGTATCGTTAAAATCCTAAGTAGCCTGCTCACAAAGCCAATGAGATTTCGAAATATCCTACTCAAACAGCCAACAAGAGGCTGAACAGAAGCGTTCAAGACAGCAATAGGGCTTAGGCCCAATATACGGCTAGTGCACTGTCCACTCGAGGGTCAAGGACTTCCTGTATGGAAGTGAAGTGTGCATTCATTTCCAGGGCGCGCATTTCATGCTATGAGGTTCGGTTGAACTCTTATTTTATAATCTTGCATATGGAGCCCCTGTAAGTATCTCGTGTATGTAAGAGGGCGGCCCTTCAAAGGTACCCTTATCAGAGTTTCAATGGCGTCCTACTCGAAACGTGAACACTAAATTCACAGGATATTAAATGGCGAGAAAAACACGTACATGTGTTCTGCACAGGCCTTTGCTAAGGAGGCTTTAACAAAGAAAGCCTATATTTGCTAATATCTAATTTTGTGCATCGGAAAGAAGCTGAATTATCATTTCTTCAATAAGAACCATTCTGGGATCCTAGTACCTACTGTTTAGAAAAGGTTATCTCTTATGAAAGCCCTTACTTTGTGATACGAGTGCTTTAGTTTTTTGAACAGGATTCCAAGTAGTTCACTAGCCAGAGACTGGACCTAAGCCCTACTACTTTCTTGAACGCTTCTAATCGCTTTTTGAGCAGGATATTTCAACATCTTCTGGGCTCCTTGAGCAGGCTACTTGGGATTTTCATTCACGTTTTGAGTCGTTTGGATGTTTTTGAAATTCTGACAAGGGTACATGTGAATGGCCGCCCTCTTATAAGTCAAAAAAAGGAGAACCTCGAATGTGAAAAATCTTCAAAATCCAAAAATCCAAAAATCCAAAAATCTTTATATATATATATATATATATATATAGATATACACATACATACATATGTGTGGTTTTGAAACTGCAATGTCAAAATGAATGCTTATAGGCGAAGGTCCAAGCTCTCTATGCTGTGCGGCCTCACGCCGTTCAGCCTGCAGTTGT